TATATATATACATATATACAATATGTACAATTTAAAAACTTTATAAAATACAGATTGACATTATTCTGCCTGAATTCATGCCATACAATACAACAAAAAGACATTTATTTCCAGGTAAAAGTTCTACAAATACCAGTTTGTTAGAGTTTATTACTCTACGCATTGCTCATTATGAGGTGCCCTCTGTGCATGTAGATGGGCATTTGGAAGCATCATCCTTAGTAAAAGGCAAACATTTAGTTCACAATATGCTCAAAGAGATGAAAAAACAGCAAAAAAAAGCTGTGTAATGTTCTTAAAGGAACATGTCACAAAAAACTGTTTTATAATACTGCCTACCTGTAAGATTTTGTTTATAATTCAGAATGACCTTGGTTGTGCCAATGTGCCCATGCTATATAGAAGCTTTACCTAAAGCAAAGCTTTAAAACCTTCATTTTTTTTTCTCTGTAGCACTTTAGCCTTGTCTCCACAAATGCCTAGATTCCTCATGCTGCCAAAGCACCTCCCTGCTCTCTACCAGTGTCAGATCTGCAATTTGGAGATGCTATGGCCTCATGCACACTGGCGTCAAGTTTGTTTATATTTGGAAGCATGTGTCTTTCTGGCAGTGTCTTTTCCCAGAAGATCAGTTTAAATGCATAAAAAATATGTTTACTTCCATTTACATCAATTTACATGTGTTTGCTTTTAGTCCACTGAACATATGTGGAACTCACATTTTTCTTTGGTAATCGGATCTAAACACTTCTATTGTAAATGGTTCTTAACATTGAATGGACAAATTAATGCATTCAAGAATTTTTGCTTTACCGCTCTGAACGGTCCACTATTATGCATGATGCTGTGGGTTGAATTTGGTGTTCTCTAGCTCCTCTTCCACTTCAGTAGCTAGTGAAGGAACTCCCACTATCAGCCTGGAACATATGCATACACAATAAAAAGATTTCTGCTTCACTTGGAGCCTTAGCAATGAAGAATGAAATAAACTCAGTGGCATGTCGAGCCCGAGGTTTATACTAAAAGGGCAACAAGATGACAACAAAGAGTCAAAAGAACATTTTATATGGACTCTAGCCCTGAAAGATGATGCACTAAACATGGATTCTGATTTGTTTGAAATGAACTTCAGCTTCATTGTGCATCTTTGGATGTCCTGCTGTGTTTTTATATAGCCATATAACTCTTCAGTGACCATCGCAATCCCACTGAATAAAATGGAGAGCAAAATGTTTCTTCTGATCTCTAAAAGGCAGGAGGCCTGATTAACAATGGTTCAAACTCTCTTGCTAGCTTATGGGTCTCTACCAATTAAGAAAGGGATACCTTGCCAAGATTTACTGAAAGGAACAAGTGTTTGTGTGAAATCCTTCTGTAAAACCTAGCTTTGGACTACTCATATTCAAACACTCTATATGATTTGGGTACCCAAAACTTCTGACATCACACCCCTATGTTGAAGCATTTAACCAAATTAATAAGAAAAGTTGTGTTTTCTAGATGTCATTAAACCACAATATAAAGACTGCATCAATTTGATAACAACAATTTTTTATTAAGACATCATTTAAAAACTTACATAAAATGTATAATGCCAATGCATAAACCAAAGGACTATCATTATACTTAATTTGATATTCAGTGCCTCCTGGACCTACTACATAAAGCTTGCATGCAACTACAGGGTATGTCCCAATGATTTTAAAGGAGTCCAGTTATATTTTGTTATCTGTAGTGGTCCAGTCTTTGCACTCTTTGCTTCATTAGTGTGAGGCAGCTCATAAGTGAATCATTGAGCCAATAAGTATACATGGTACAAAGCAAATGATTGCCTGGAGAGTGGTTGCCACCGGCTGCAGAGAAGCACTCAAAAGCATCCAGAGGGGAATTAGAGAGACACCAAGTCTAGACTTCTGTAGTGAAGTCTGTAATGGATGGAGTCCCTTTAACACATCTCACAAGGGCTTTATACATACACATCTAGTGGTCACTTTATATATGGCTTCCTAATCACCATCTGCCAGGCCTTATACTTGATTGCCATATGTTTTAAAATTCTACTTTTGTGATCGACTGTGCTGTTGATCTTCTGTAGCCTTTTCAATCACTTCCTATCTACAGCAATAGCTATATGAAATTTCTCATGGTAAGTTTCCTGATGGTGACAGCTTTGATCAATATTTACATCTCATATTTTTCCTTTTTCCCCTGGCAAAATTTTGACCCAGATGATTTGGTTCTCAATCAGGGGCGTAACTAGAAATCACAGAGCCCCATAACAAAATTTTGTATGGGGCCCCGTGATTGCTAGTTATGCCACTTGCAGAGCCCCAATGGAGAATGATGCTGCAGAGCCCACCATAGACTCTCTATAGTGGGCTCTGTATGGTCTGTGATCTCTTACCTGTCAGTGCCTCTGTGGTCGCCGTGCCCCGACTCCTGTTCCATCCCCGGGCCCCCGCCTTCTCTTACATCACTGGCCCCACCTGCTCTTAGGTCGCTGGCCAGTGATGTAAGAGGAGGCGGGCCCCGCCTCCTCCATTCCGAACACCGCCCTCATCTCCCGCAGCGGCTGGCTGTCACTGACACAGCTCCGCAGCGGCTATGAGGGGAAATGTCTGTTACAGCCAGCACCCCCACATGCCATAGCGACCCAGGTGGCCCTGGCCGGGTCCCCCTGTGCCCGGGCCCCATCCAGGCCTTATACTTGATTGCCATATGTTTTAAAATTCTACTTTTGTGATCGACTGTGCTGTTGATCTTCTGTAGCCTTTTCAATCACTTCCTATCTACAGCAATAGCTATATGAAATTTCTCATGGTAAGTTTCCTGATGGTGACAGCTTTGATCAATATTTACATCTCATATTTTTCCTTTTTCCCCTGGCAAAATTTTGACCCAGATGATTTGGTTCTCAATCAGGGGCGTAACTAGAAATCACAGAGCCCCATAACAAAATTTTGTATGGGGCCCCGTGATTGCTAGTTATGCCACTTGCAGAGCCCCAATGGAGAATGATGCTGCAGAGCCCACCATAGACTCTCTATAGTGGGCTCTGTATGGTCTGTGATCTCTTACCTGTCAGTGCCTCTGTGGTCGCCGTGCCCCGACTCCTGTTCCATCCCCGGGCCCCCGCCTTCTCTTACATCACTGGCCCCACCTGCTCTTAGGTCGCTGGCCAGTGATGTAAGAGGAGGCGGGCCCCGCCTCCTCCATTCCGAACACCGCCCTCATCTCCCGCAGCGGCTGGCTGTCACTGACACAGCTCCGCAGCGGCTATGAGGGGAAATGTCTGTTACAGCCAGCACCCCCACATGCCATAGCGACCCAGGTGGCCCTGGCCGGGTCCCCCTGTGCCCGGGCCCCATAGCGGCCGCCTGGGTCGCTATGGCGATTGTTACGCCAGTGTTCTCAATGCAGAGATAGAGATAGTACACTGCTCCTTCATGATTGAACCTGGAGACTCCCGGATGCTCACTGATAAGAGTGCTTCCTCATTCATAGAATAAGCATGTGGTTGGGTGAATCACATCAGAGGTGTGGACCTTGGGCAGGACATTTGTAGT